GACCTTCTTCTTACTATATACCTCTGACAACAGCTGCCCTATTTAGGCTACTATTCATACCACCTCCTTTTATTGTACACTTTGTCTTCACATTATTGCCTATTTATAGGCAATATCAGTGCTGTTCAGCACTGCAGGTACTAAATATATGGGCTACGATTAGAACAATAAAATTCACTTCATAGCATGGATATGGTCAGGAATCCCATCTGGTCAAGCCCTACAAGGTCCTTTGTGGCCAACCACAGCCCTGGATGTATTTAAACTGCATATATAAAAGTACACAGCTTGCTTGGTGTTGACATATTTTTATGCCTATGAAACCATCACCAAAATCAAGAGATTTCTATCACCCTCAAAAGTTTATTAGTGACTCTGTAATAATTGCTCCACTTCTACTGCCCTTACCAGGGAACCACTATTTGCTTCCATTTACATCTAAAATTTTCTATAGATGGAATAATACAGTATATATTCCTTGTTGCCTTGTTTTGGTATCCACCTTAATGATTTTGAGAGCCACCCATGTTGTTGCATGGGCCAGCAGTGCTTTTTTATTGCCACAGAATACTGATATGCATGTATAGGGTATATAATAGTCTGGATGTATCGGTGGAGTCAAGTTTGGGTAAACAAGAACTTGAAATGCCTGAGTACAAAGCAGTAAGCAGGAGTGACTGAAGATACCAGAAAGAGGAGTGAGTATAAAAGTGAGATTTCCAAGAAGGCAGGCAAGGAGAGAGCTCAAAGGTTAACTGGGAAGGGAGAAGCCCTTGGAGGGCAGGATGAAAGGGAAAAACATATACACCTTATATGAAAACAGAAGTGAGAAAAGGGCAGGCTGAAGTGTCTCCATCTTCTCTACAGACTCACTTAAAGCAAGATAATAAGTGGCTAAAGAACATATAATTTCTACCAACCAAATCACAGGTTAATCTCTAAATGCTTTACACACACAGAAGCCTACAAGTCCAAGCAACATAGTCACTTCTGCAGGTAGGAAATTCCTTGGGAAAACTCACAAATATAAATGCAAAACAGCCTTTATAAGAGGTTTATCTCCTAAGAGTGGAGTCCCATCTGAGGCTCTCGCAGGAAGACAGCTGGCCTCCAGCAGCTTTGAGGAGCTGACCCATCCTTCCAGGCTATGAGCCACTCAGCAACACGCATCAAACAATGCAGCCATGAAAGATGGCAGCCACATACCATAAACCACTTTCTATCCTGCAAGATTAAAAGAAAAATAGAGCTGAGGACTGGCAGCCTGTGTGAAAATAAGCCATCGAGAGGGGCCCCCTCTTACTGCTAGAGTGAAGCAGCTTTGTTGTGGTGGGTGGGAAGGAGATTTACACAAGAATATAAAAATGAACAATGATGTACACACACACACATATATAAAGAATGTAGTAGGGAAATAGACATGGGAAGCTTGAAGGGCAATCTCTCTGCTCAAGGAGAATAAACAGGATTTTTTTTATTTCTGACTTATAACACATAGCACTTTTTCCTTTTTCTCTTGGCCTTTGTAAAATTTTCCCTCTATTCCTTCATCCTACTCATAGACAGTGGTGGAAACAGGAAACAAAGACAGGAGAGAGGTAAGCTTTAGACATAACCCACAGCTCCTGAGGCTGCTCTGTAGCACTGAGTACAGGGACCTAAGAGATAACAGCAAGGGGAGAAGGAGTCAGAAAGGCCAGTTGGGGGCCTGGACACCTCCCTCTAGCACAGCCTTTGACAGCACTCCCCTTCTGAACCTGAGAAGAAAGACCAAAGAGTTAGACCTATAAAACCAATCAATAGAAGGACCAAATTAGCCACAGCACCAGCATCCAAGACAGTTCCAGGCCAGGGGACAAGGGTTCAAATCCAGTATTGGCCACAAGCCAGCTAACAACCTCAGAAAAATCATTTCAGCTTTCAGTCTTAGGTGCCACCAAAAAAAAAAAAAAAAAAAAAAAAAAAAAAAAAAAAAAGCATAGGACTTTTGGTTTCATATTAAGGAGGGTGTGGGGGAGGGGGGTGAAAACAGGAAGAGGATAGTGTTTCTTTCAAAGCTGCCACAGTCAGAAGGCAAGCACTATTGCCAATACACCTGTGGCACCACACACTCTCACTCTGACTTCTAGAGCTGCAGTTCATATCCATTTCCAACAAGGCTCTTCTGGAATCTGTTTCATTAATGAAGCAGAGCAACCATTTGCAGGCTGTGAAGAAGCCAGTTTATGCCATTTGTTCAAGAAGTCTTGCAAGCAGACATCACAGATTCCCATCTGGGGCTCTCCCAAGCACTGGGCTGGCCTGACTTCTCCAGCAAAATGCCAAGTGGCAGGAACCCCACCAAGGCTCTGGGCCAACCAGCTTCACGGCTGGGAAATTCTTAACTACATAGCTTTCTTATTCAAAAGTTACAATTTTTGCAATTATCCTCACTCTGAGAATTGTACAGTTGAAATAAAGAAGAAAGCTACAAAGGCAAAGAGGACTGAGGTAGGGCAAATGTTGCTTCTGACAAACCCATAGTCATTTGATAGGAATCACAGATGAACGAGCAGTTCTGCAGCTGAGGGTCAGAGTAGAGATGAAACCCACATCTAAATTCATGACATCAGGCCATAAGTGCCAATCTCCCCAGAATTGACTTCAGGCCATAGACAGCCAAGAGACATAGTTTATTTGGTCTGCCTGAAATTATCTGCCCATTTCCAACCAGGGTCTTCATAACTTTTTAATTAGTTGCTAATTCATTTCACATTAAACATAGGCTTCCACTTCCTCTTAAAAATGAGAATCTGACAACCGTTGGTCCATATCCCATCCAATAACTCCACCAGAGAGCAGATCTTTTATTAGGGCACACACTCCAATTTCCACAGATGAACAAATCCTTTTCAAAACTGACTTCTGTGGGCATTTAAGTTTTTCACTCCTAATTTTGGTAAAGCATGGTGGAATACACTCTCATTTTGCATTACTGCACAGGATGGTCAGTGGTCAGGATTTTGGCTATAGGATGCCTGACTTTCCCAAATCCCAAGAGCAGAGAGAGAGAGAGAGCCAAAAGAAACATTGGTGGCTACAGGCCAGCAGTGTTGACCTGGTTCCTGTGAGCCGTTCAGCCAATTGAGAGGTCTCCCTGTGGAGACAGGTGTTCACACAGTTAGAAGGGAGCTTTGCTATCTTTTATAACTCCTGAAGGCTCAAAATACAAAGAGCAAAACTACCTTACACATTTTCTTTGGAGTTCTGATGAAATACCCATAAAGGGGTGTGATTTTTTAATCCCACCCAGAACTGATAGAAGACACAAGGGATGTCAGTTTTCCAAGGGTAGGTCTAAAATCGTGGGCAAAATCGTGGAGTTCTTTACCCTCTCTGAACCCCACCTGGAGTGGGGCATTAGACTTTATACCTTAATGTAGAGTATCAGTTGGTAAGCTTCTTCTCTTAGGAGTATTTACACCATAGGATATGAGGTTTTTCCCCAGTTAAAAATGATTCAGCTATCAAGAGAAAACAAAGCGGGCCTCTACAAGGTCTATGAAAAAATAATTCATTCCATATCAAGTTAGCCCTGCTGGAAATTAATTTTTAATGCCTAAATAAATGAATACGTCAACTAGCCTAGTGGTGAAAATTCCCACCAATAAACATGTCTTAACTCGGAAGCATATACCCATCCCCTTGTAAAATGCAAAGATATCATCTGACTACATCTTAATCAATCACACTTAACCTTTTCATGTGTACATATTATGTAGGATTCAGCTTCTGACAGAATGAATTCTATCCAGATATTCAGGAATTCAGGATAGCAAGTTTGAAGGAGGAAAAGGATGGAAAAGCCCTGGGCCCCACACAACCAGGTAGGTCAGAGTGAGATAGCACAGATGATGACTTTAGGGTACAATTAATAGCACTATTTGTTTCACCTAGCACTTCTGGAAAAAAACTAAAAACCATAGGTAGGTACATTCCCACCCTGGTATCCATTTTTCCTCCCTGTCACTGAAATATTAGAGAACAGCATCTGGCCTGCTGTGATGATAAATAATAAAGACCATGGTGAGATATTAAAGGAATGACTTTAATCTCAGTTTAAAGGAGTTGGGAGTGGTAATTTAAAGCCATCGCTTTAATACTTATACTAAAGGCAGTGTATTGCCCCACTTCATTTTCATCTGGCCCATAAATATATACACACAAATGTGATACCTTATCCAAAAAAGATTAACATTTTTTTTTCCTAAAAGCGAGATCAAAGATGTAATCATTTGGGCCTTGTGTAAGATGCTGCACACAGTCAAGCTCAAATCAATCACATTCTAAGAGAAGAGCTCACAGTTTTACATTAAAATCACTATGCAACTCACATAGTGAGATCACTGTAATGTCAAGCATCTTATCTCCTGATAAGTAAATCAGCTGCTTTCTATGAAGATTGCCTGATAGGAGATTGTAAAAATATTTCTTTTCTCGGTATTCATAAAGGGCAGGGGGAAAGTAATCAGAGTGCCAGTAATAAGTCTTAGCCACAGGACAAAGCAGTCAAAGATACCCTTTAATGTGAAATTGCATCCTTCAGTTTCTGCTTCCAAATGTCAGTTGTGCCAGAAAACCTAATGCAAATAGATTTATGTGCTGTATTGAGGGGCAAAGAGGAAAAAATAATTCTAATTACAACCATCATTGAATGAATGCCCAACAGATGCAAGCAGCACAGACTGGGCCAATGTGCTATATAAAAATCACCCCAATTTTCTTATAGAAAAGTCATCTTGCGTTTAAAAGCAGTCAGAAGGTCTAAGAAGTGGTTACACAGAACTGAGTACCAACTCAACAATTTGAAGTCTTTTCAACATGCCCAGTGCTTTTCTACCAAGTCATCCATATTCAGTCATGAGTTCTTTCTCCATGTGCCCAGCTTCCCCACTAAACCAGTACTACAGGTAGTACTACAGGTAGCAGGAATGACTGCTAAGGAAGAAGAAGGACCTTACCACTTCTGGGAGCAGCCTCGTTGAGAGGTCATGGATGGCTTTGACCACTATACATATGGATGATAGAAGGAATATCACCCCCAAGATGACACAGGCTCTGTAAAGAAACAAAACATTGAGAATCTTAACTGGGAGAACTTTACCTTACTCATTATAGTACCACAATGATGACACAGGCCAAGGCATTGGGACCTCAGCATAACTTGCCATTGTCCTACAGTGACTGTCCACGGCCCCAGGATTGGCTCTCAATCATCTCTAAAACAGTTCTGATTTTTAGCACCAAAGTCAACTCCACAGGAGATAACTTTAGGATCCTACATAATCTCACAACCTTCCATGAATGCCAGCATGAAAGAGCCTTTAAAGCCACACCATCCATCCCCCAACCTAGCAACAGAGCATTTCACTCCTCCTCTAGCTGGATGGTATCACGTTTAATATCAAGAGTGGCAGCTCTGCCATGAGGCATCCCAAGCCCTACCTTTGTGTGTGATCTTGGTCCACTTACTGGACTTCTCTTCATCTCTATATTTGTTAAACTGTCAAAGGAAATAGTATTTCCTACATGAAGATGAAATGAGGTAATACACAGTGGGGAAAAAAGAGTAACTCATAAACACTGACTTGAAGAAAAAGCCTATCCTGGATCTCCCTTTCTGGTATCATGTGATAAGATACATTTAAACTTTACCAGAGGCATAAAAAGAACAATTTGGTAATGACAAAGATGGGGTGCTTGTGGCAAGATGGAATGATTCTAAAAGAAGAAATCAGATAAACTCTATACCTGACTGAAAATTAAGAAAACAAGAAGAGAAAGGGCCCAACAGAATGTGGTGGAGAACTGTTGGGACAGTGGTGGTGAGAGGGTGTGGAAGCATACATTCATAGAGGCTTAAACTTTTATACCCCAAAGCAGATACAAAGATATAAACCTATGTTACATTAATAAACATAATTTCAGAGGTGGAAAATAAAAGATGTAAGAGGCAAGAAGGAAGAATGAAGTCAACCAAGACAACCAGCACAGGAGACAGGAGCAAATTATGGATGAGACCCTGGGTGAAGCCACATAGTCAGGACACAGCCAGGGGAGCAGGGCAGGGCCAGCAAGCATCGCTATGGGGCTCGGGACACAGGAGATGCCTCTGGCAACCCAGACACTACCACCTGCAGCAGAAAGATGGAAAATGAAAGTTACCATGAGGAAATAAAGATAGTAATACAAGGTTCAGTTCAAAACAGCAAATGAAAAAAGGTAGAGCAGAGGAGAAAAATATGAGAATGGCTATAGTTATTCCAGATAGCCTGACTTCTCCATTACTTGGCAGTCTTCTCAGTCATCTTCTCCCAGCTACCACATTAAATCATTCATCATCATCAATCTTGGATTCCCGTCTTTGAACTAATAACACTGCCCCAAATTAACCAAATTACATTGAATACCTACAATGCTAACTGACCTGGGATATGTTCCCCAAACTTAGAAGTCAGATAACGAAGACTTCCTAGAGTCCACTCAATAGGTGTCTAACTCACACTAGTTGTCAGTGTTACTCTTTCAAAAACATAGGCAGAAAGAAAAGAGCACTGCAGGTTTGATGAAACACAAAAGGATGTAGAGAAGTAGGAAAACTAATGAATGTGTTGGGGCTCTTTGGAAGATATGAGCAACAGAAAATCTTTGCCTTATAAACCAAGTGGATGTTCCACCATGATGCCATACATTCTCATACTGAGTCTGGAAGAAAATAAAATATACACCTAAGGGGGAGAAAAGATAATTAAGGCAGTAAGTACAGACTGACACTACAGCAGGAATGAAGAATGGCAACATGAAGCAGTGAGCCTGAGCTGTGGCTCATAGCCCTGGCAGAGCTCTCCTGGAAAGGAGGGGGGGCAGTTGAGCAGGGGCATCCAGGAGAGAGAAGCACCTTCTATGAGTTATACAGTGATGAGACAATATGGTAAGATCAGGGATACCCATGGCTCAGTGGATGGATGGATGCTCTCAAGCAATAGTCCCACCCATGTCCACAATGGTTATGGGACATCCATGCCTAGCACTAGAAGTAACCCTTTCTAGCTATGAGCAAGTGGACCATAAGAAGGCCCAGAATGGGAAAAGGGCTGTAAGTCAGTACCAGGTTCCAAAACTAATTTTTGTGGTGTGATTTCCCCCTCTCTATTCACAACTGAGTGACTGGAAGAGACTCTTTGATTCATCCTTTCAGGTAAATCTAGCCCTGAGGGTACTCTGCTTGGGGACTTTCTTAACAGTTGCCCAGAGTCAGCTCCAGCTCAATCTTAACCAGAATCTATAGTGGGTAGGGGGCACGGCGGGTGAGCCTAGGCATCTTCATTTATTTAAAAGCGACCCAGGCAATTTCTATATGCACTAGGATTGAAAATCTCAGGTTAGACTGAGGAAAGGTCCTGTCCTTAGGGAGATTTTAGGGTTGGGAAAGAAGTACAGAACTCCCCCAGGCAGAATGCAATGGGTAACACCCATCCCAGAAGGTGAGGAAGTGATGGAGTCTAAGTGTCCCCTAGAGACCATGTGGTACATCTGTCTACTGAGCAGCATTCTCCCTGAGACCTAAGTAGGTGTCAAACCTCCTACACGCAATTTGTCACAATATCCAGAAGAAGCTTCCCTCTCCAAATGCCTGTAGAAGGAAAAGGAACAAGTGTCTGAGCTTCTTCCTGGCAGGGAATAGTGATGTTACAAGAATCTTTCTCCAGAGCACTGCAGGCATGCCTCCCTAATGTACAAACAACTGATCTGGATCTGCTGCACTTGAAGCATATCCTTTATTACATTGTCCAATAAGGGGTCAATGATCTCCCCACAGAGCACCGGGCATATCTATCATTAATATCTTTAATCAGATCTACCAAACAATTCAGTTAAGGACAAGAACAATGCTTTTATATCTTGCCATCCACAGCAGCACATAGCAGAGGCCCCATACACACATGGAAAGTGGATGTAATTATTAGCTGAGTGAGTATTACCTGATTTGTAAGTTTTACCCCCCTGGAGTTTAAGGGACATCAGCTATCTGCCAGTGGGGATGAGAGAAGGAAGGAGAAGCCTAATACCTCATCCAAATGGCCAAGAAATAGCCTACATTGGAACAACTCTAAAATGCAATGAAAATTGAATTGATGATTTAATTTATTGAATGGTACAGAACTATAACCATGTTTTCTTCACAGATATATCTATGAATATGCTTAAAAATGTCTTCAAAACCTATTTTCATCTTGCTCTAAATGTGTTACAAGAAACCCAGTCACCCTTCAACACTGCCAGGAACCTATGTTAGAGCTGCTCCAAGCCTAGAGCAGTTATTATTAGCAGAGGGTGTGATGTTATTTTTTAACCTGATATTAATAATATATTGTGTTTACACAGCAGCTCTCTCCTCTGGCACTCAGAGTTCCATACAGCAGCTCATAAATGCCCTACGGGCCACTAACAAGATCTGGTTTTTTTTTTATTTTCTGCTACTTTACAGATTGGGATGGAGGGGGGTATGTTTCTTAAACACAAGGAGTCAAAATGTGGGCATCAAGGATTAGGACACTTGCCCAAGGCCACTCAAGGAGTTTGATGTCTACCCAGAAATAAAACCTCCATCTTCTGAGCCCTCCCCAGTGACCAGCACTCAATCAGTGACTTGAAGGCTCTTGACACCCGTGTCACATCCTCACACCAGCACCACCTGGGGCTGCAGCAGTGGCAGGATATACCTAAGATTTGGGTCAGGAGCAAATACTGCAATAAAGAAATCAATAACAGCTGCTTCTGAATCTGCAAGTGTGTGCTACTTGCAGGGTTATGAGAGGGAGAGGGAAGAGGAGGAGGTACTGCCCCATCAGCAAACCACAGCTTTCACTGCAGAAGCTGGTAGGGAAGTAAAGAGGGCACTATGTTCGTGGGCTGACAGCAATGATGAGCCAGATCACAGAATGAATAACTTTCTCCCTCCTGTCAACCCCTACAGAAAAGAACCCTGAGTCGGAAAGAGGCAATTACACACCATCCCCTTTGATGTCATCCCCCAACCAACTCTGACCAAAGTTGAATTTAAATTCCCACCAGATCAGGGTTTGTCAAAAGTGTGGTCTACAGATCAGCAGCATCAGTAACCTGAGAACTTGCTAGAAAAGTAAATTCTGGAGTCCACTCCAGACCTGCTGAATCAGGGACTCTGTTTCGGTAAGTCTTTCAGGTGGTTCTGATGATCACAAACACTTGAGAACCATTGTATAGCCTTGCCAAAGAGACATTTACTATCTGAAAGAAAATTGGCAAAATCTAAAAAACTAGTTAAAGAAAATGACATCTTTTTTTTTTCCCTAAAAGGCACAAACTGGTCATTGTATATGTCACTGTAAATCCATAAATAACATCAATTTTTGCCAATGAAATTATAAGGGCAAAATCAATTGAAAGGTACTTTCATATCCAAAATGATTATCAGGTTGGTCTCTTGTCAATTATAGGTTTAAAGGCCTGTGCTTCACATTAATAAAGCCTGACTCATCATAGCAATTCTAAGCTATTTTCCAAAGAGAAGCTTCTTCTAATCATCCCTCAGTTATCAAAAGATCTAAAACACAGTAGCCCTGGCAATTAATCAATTCAGGCCACAGCTTATAATGTAGATGTCTGATTTTCAACTTTTACAAGTCCACAGCACTTGTAATCTGGGACAGCATCAAATATGAAGTAATGAAAAATATCAACAACACAGAAGTGGTGAGTACACATGGTACTAATGCTGTTTTATTAAGGAACAGCTAGGTCCTCTGTTCTTAATGTGCTCTGCCATTTTAAATAAAACCACAGACAAATTCAGTTTGGAGACAGGATGAAGGTTGGGGGATGGGGCAGGGGAGGGAAAGAGAAGAAAGTGAGCAATAAATGCTCAGGAGCCACTTCTCATTCTCTGTATTCACACACCAAGCCATCACCATTGTGCTCAAGATTCCCTTCTTCACTCCATCACTTCCCAAAGCCCAGCACTCCCTCCTCTCCCTACCAGGGTTTCCTCCCCTGTTCTTTCTAATCTTATTCATTTT